GGAGCTCTTTGTTTTCTGTACTTGACGGTGTTTTCGTTCCCTTCACACGGGAACGCCGTTGTCGATGTTCGCTCACTTCCTCTCTCACTCTCTTCCGCCATCTCTCTTTCTCTTTCGTCGCTTCAGATTATTGATCGTTCGTTCGGAAGATTGCTGCCAGCGGGGTCACTCCTGCTAGACTGCTAGACGAGCAGTCTCACAGGAAGTAGAGAACGAGTAGAGTTGTTACCGGGAAGAAGATCGGCTGGCGGACCTATCGATTGTACTTCGAAACTCTCGTTGTCCACTCGCGCGCCACCCTGCCTGCCACCCTGCTTGCCTGCTGACTGTTGCACGTTGATCGAAAGATTTTCCGCCACAAGCTGCCGCTCGTCGAGAGAGTCGTTCGCCGATTTTTTTCCGAACCTTCCGTCCTTTCATTTCCGGCAAGCTTTTTCGACGTCCTGGACACGCGTGCGACGCGCAGAAAAATATTCCGGCGTCAAGCTCACTTCAAATATTTTTCTTTCGCGCGTGTACGATTCTAGACACGCCGGGTGCGTGAGTACGTGCGTTCATGCATGTTCGTCCATTGCGTTTCGTTAGAAACATATCGTTCGGAGAGAGAGATTTATTATTTTCGAAAGTACGTTTTTTTCATTCGTCGCATAATACGCGTGTATGTTTCTACTGGTCTAGACGTTTGTTATATTTTTAGAAAAAAATATCAAATGTTGAAGTAAACGTTCAAGGAAACAAAATACAAGTATAAAACAGGCAATAGCAATTAAGATCGAAAAAATTGAAAAGTTACACCGTAATAACCATAACATGTTATTGTTGCTGAGTGTCAACGTTTTGCTCACTGAAAGATCGGGGCAGATCGATCTCTAAACGTAATTTCCTTTTTGGATAAAATAATATTCCAATTATCGTCTTCAAAAGACGAGACGGTCGGAGAAATAACAAGGGAGAATTTGTGTTCCGACGAAAATTTCGTACGATTATTCGGCACCATGTCGGAGTGTAAATTATTCGTTTCACACGTCACTTTTTGACAATTAGCAACATCGAAATATATAATGTAATCAGCGTCCACATAATGTTAGAAAGTTTCGCGATTTCCAACGCGGCAATAAGACGGATTGGAACTTTCCTCACGTCGTTATCGTCGACGTGAGCAATTAATGTGTCATTGTGACTGTCAGAGAAGCGGAAAAGAACGCAGAGAAAACGATTTGTACTGTATAGAAAGATATAAGCATATAAATATAGATATATATATTTACCGCTTTTTTGCGAGTAAGATTAACCATATGTTCTAAGTAGTCATCGAGTGTCCGTTCTCGATAGTCTCATGATTAGCGCAGGAAAAAGAATCCGTCATTTTACTGTGCGTCGTGAATGAGTCGCGGCTACGCGTGAAAGTTACAAGATTTTTAGCGATATGGGAGAAAATCTATCGACGCGCAAACATTACAGAGAATAGAGCATATTCTGATGATCAATAATTTTTATTTCCACGAATTTGTAGAGACGACTTAGGCTTAGTGAAAATTCGAGGCCAATTATACTTCAATCAGTTACTTGTAAATTTTCGGGGGCGAATAAATTTCGAATAAAATCATCGATGACTTTAAGTACCTGCGTAATTAAATCCCGTTAAAGTTTTCGTTAAGAACAGATCAGTTCCGTCAAGGAATTCTGTTTCTACGAGATTTTCATTGCCTCGACGATCGGCGGAATTTCGTAAAAATTTTCCCGTTGTATTTCGCGCGTAATGCCTTATACTTCGTTATCACTTAACTTCGCCGCTAATTAATAAGGTTAATCAACGTTCACCGCGTGCGTGTGCGCGCGAAGGCGTGTTGTGTTGATCGTTGCAAATCGTATCGTGATGCCGAGCCTGAGTATTTACTCTGCCGAAGGTTACGCAGGAACTCCCGCGTTAAGCTTCGGACACACAACAGCTCCTCGAATGCAAATTTGATGCGAAATACTAATACGCATTCCACCACTGCGTCATCGTACACGCGCTTACACGCGACATATGTCTCGTGCTCGTATGATCGAGTTGTACATTTTTCAAATGCATCGAAGGAATTTTTCCCTCACTTGCACGCGCTCTGAGTATGATTATTGCCGTCAACTTTTAAGTAGAAACTCACGTACGTGTAAACCACTTATTTTGCAAATTACATGGACTTTTATTACCCCCTTGTAAAATTTTATGTCTTGTATATTAATGATTTTATTACGTTTTATTATTCTTCATCATTATATTTTATATTATTGTATTTTCATGTCATACTCCGTTATTATTATGTTAAATTAAATATTACAAAATGCATTTTCGAGACTGAACTGTACTGCGACATAACTTATTGAATTTTAAAAGACGCGACGAGTTAAGTTTCAAGCAGTCAGATCTTACAATTTAAATTCTTTTTGAAGGCTGATGTTTTAATAAAAATTTTCATAAGGTACCATTTGGCACCGCTGAGACCTTCTTGAGCGTAGACATTAATTAGTGCATCAATTAGGAAGCTCTCTTGCAATGTTAAATATTGAAACCGTCTTTATCACAATGTATATGTTTATGAGTGAAAAGCTCCTTGAAAAAAATCATCATCAATCATCATCAATCATTAAAAATCTGCGAGAAGAAGGTAATAATTAGTCCTTCACGATGCGCGATTGTTCTTTTAGTCTACTGCGTTTCTTTAACTACACTTGTTACCAAGTACGATTCTGCGATACCTTTCAATAAATTTCAATAAATTTAATAAATTGCATTTGTTATAGAAAGTTTTCTCTTTGAAAACTTAATTAATTTGTTGAATCGGAAATTTTATATATGTATTATATATATACTTATAAAATATAAATTTCTATTTCATGTCTGAATTTTTCTTGTTTCATATAGGGTGTGTTAATTAATTAATTAATTGAACGTGATATAAATCGTACTCTTTTAATGAGATGTATCCGATTAATTTATATTTAATGGTTAATGACGAACAATTTATAATTATTAGCGAAAAACATCTACGATGAATTTCCTACTACTTTAGGGGAATTGTTCAAAAAGTTGCCGTAAGTAAAGTAATATTAAATGGCACGCTAGAATTTATTCGATCGTTCATTAGATGAAATTAATATCGTAAAGAATACCGTAATTATCAGTTTGTTGAATCCAGCTTGATTTATTTCCGGCTTATAATCACTGATTTGAAATGCCATACAAAATTTATATTGGATATAACAAAAAAAAGTTGAAAATTAGAAATATGCTGTCGTTCTTGAAATTATCTTACCGATAGATTTCAAGCTTTTGGATAAAACTTAATCCGTTCACGTATCGCTATTTTGTAGTGATAGAAGTTGATTAGCAACAAATATTCAAACCAGATAATTTTAATTTTTAATTAACACACCAATTATATCCCGAGAATGAAGTATCGATTTTGGAACAGGCGATAAGTTTGAAGCATCAATATATAAGCCGGATGTTACGTCTTTCTTTTTTTAATAAATCGATGATTGAAATACGTCGCATAAACGATCGACTACTTTTTAGTGCATCCATCATACTTCACGATCGAAGATTGACGCTGTTATTGATATACTGTATAGCCTAATGTGATATTCATAATACCATAAAAAGCCTCTGCATACACATTCACTCTCTCCTTCCCTCTTTTTCTTTCTTTCTCTTTCGCAACACGATACGAGAGTGCATGCGACACGAGACGTTTCACGGTGTACCTTAAACAGGTGTATAATATTATGCGAAAATGAAGTAAATATTGTAGTCGACTGTGAAGAGGTGCATTTGCATTACGGAACTTAATAAAGCGATATGTTAAAGAACCACTGTTGGTCTTTTTTCCCATCACAACCGGTGCCTTATTTCAGGAATGCAGAGAGACGCTTTTGAAGTTAGAAGACATACGAGCCGTCCGAGTTTAATAGTAGCTTAACCCGTAAAAAGTAAAGAAAGTAAACCGCCTTTATAGCAAAGTTCTTTATCAGAATCTATGAGAGGAATAATGCGTTGCACGCTATTCCCTCGCTCTTCTCGATAGACGGAAAATAAAAGAGAAAATAAAGTGAAATTGCTGAAAGTTATGCGAAATTTCGATCTCATTTATCTCGAAAGGAACTTTCGTAATACTACTCCATTGTTACTCTGAGCGTCTCATAGTTAAATTACGACAAATCGAGAGAAATGCATTATATGTGAAATTAAATTCCTAATCCTTGGAAGGAGGTGCAAAAATGCTTTGGGAATGCTTTTTTACTTCCCCTTACAAGAAGGAATGCGTTCTTACCCAGGACAGCTACTTATATTTCCGCAGCTTGAATGTGCTCTAGAGGAATTTTTACCGTCTCTTCAATTTAACTCCCTGACTGTGACATGCCGATATGTCGGTGCGACATTTTACGTGTCTCACTTTACCGCGACGACGTGTCGATATACGGGCCACGTATTTCAAGCTCGACCGCTAGAAAAAAAATACTCGTTGACAAATAGAAATTACCGTTCATAAGCCGAAGAACGGTTGAGTGTAAGCGAACGTTATAGTAACTTCACTTCACACCGCCTATCAATACTTGTTCACGAAATGAAATTAATGATATGAACGTAGTTTGTGAATAAAATAAAACATGGCGGACTAACAGATTTGGTAGAAAATATCTCGCGAATATGCATTATGGTCGTTCGTGGGAAGTAAAACTTGCTTGACGTTGCTAACAAGTTCAGAAGAAATATCTCATCGTGAAATGTCTCTCGTCACCCGACACCGACGTCTCGATTCGATATTCCCAATGAAACTTCCGTTAATATTCAGAGCATATTTTAACGAGTCTTACCTGCAACTTGTCGGACGTTCGAATAGGCAGGCTCACTAACTGTTCTCGTGCACTATGCGCCATCTAGTAGCGTTGAACGTTCACGACACTCGCGCCACCTGGGCTCGGTAACTCTAAGCGCGGTTGGTAATGTTTCCCGCACGACGCGCACGTATGTGTCATCCGTTTGTTTACAAAATCTTGGCACCTTCAAACATCGACAATGCGGCGAACAATGAACGAAAGATCAAGATTGATCGACCGCCATATATGAACGCCACTCGGACACGCGATATGCGTTTCGTGCTGTAGTTCCTCCAAGTGAATACTCGTCGCGAGAAGGTAACATAACCTGACGTAACCTCAAAACCGCGCGCGTTTCACGGGTTGTACCGGGTTGCGCGCGATGACGGGCCGCCGCGAGTGCTTTTGATTAACGGTGCGGTGTGCGCTCGAGAACTCGCTATCGGTGGCAGGGAATCCTCTAGATGGATAATGAGTGAGTCCGATGACACGGACGTCCTGCTCCTGATCCCGCCTGATATATTCCACGTGCCGTCCTCCGACTCGGACGTCAGCTCGAGCGATCTCACGAGAACGGATCGCGCCAAGACCGGCGTCATCTCGGAGCTGGTGGAGCACATGCAATCGCTCGAGACCCGGATCTCCGCCATCGAGTCCAGGGACAATAGTCTGGAGGTGTCCGTGTTGAACAATTCGTTGGACTCTCACGGAGCCTACGGTGGCACGTGTTGCCCTTACTATCGGCAGACTCTGCCCAGAACCAAGTTCTCTGTAAGTCAAAGCTCCAGTCTGCAAAATACCACCGTGAAACCTCGTCAGTCTCTCTCCGTTCCCGTTACTCCCAGCGGATGCACGTCGCAGACTTCTACTAATTCTCTGAGGAATGACATGCGACCGGGATGCTGCTCTCTGACAGCCTCCGTCGCTAAATCAACCACTACTACTATTACTAACACTCTTGCTCGGGCCAAGCATGATGGTGTAACATCGTACTCCGACTCCTACGTGGTGCCTCCTCCTGTTTCCTGTGGTACTGGGCTTCCGCATGCCACTATGTCCGCGCAAAAGGAATCTCACTTGTCTCTCCGTTCGAATGATTACTGTACAAATAAAGTTAACTCCCACCCTAAACCCCACAATAATTTGCATCCCGCGATACTCGCATCGAACTTATCTAACGCCTCGATAGGTCAGCAGCACACCCGTACTAGAATAGTGCAAGAGATGGAGCTGGCCGAGGTCGACGAGCTGCTCCAAGAGATGGAGGCCACCGAATTAGAATTAGCGAAAAGAATAAACAGCACCGGGTATCAGTATCGTAATGAACCGGTTCAGTCCTCAGCTCGAATCGCTGATAGCACGGATAAGCAGGAAAAAGAGACGCAGCGCAGGCTCAGTGGGACAAATCGAAAATTGGACTTCCAGTCGTGCAATAAAGAGTCTCAATCGACTGATGTTTTGTCAACGTTTTCCCAAAAGAAATCGAACAGTGCATTCCCCGATGTATCATTGCCATACAGTGATTCATTCCACTTGGACGAGACTGATAAAATGATCTCCGAATTTAAAACCTGGGAACAAAGCGTCCAGCAGTCTGCCCCACGGCCAAATGGATATACGATGGAAAGTATGAAAAGTACCGATCATCTATCCAACGTGCTATCTGCCACTATCAACGTTGCTAAACCGAGGGAGCTAACGATGAACCAAAGTAATGTATGCACGAACGAATCGAGCGCAAGCAGCGCACAGGTTGAGTCGAAATCTTCCACTATGAAAGTAGATCCTGTGTCACGCGTTACTGAGTCAGTGAAATTAGCTGATCTTCTGCCAACGAGAACTGTGCAATACAGCAATACAGATCGCTTGTTGGATCTATACAAAGTGCCACAGCGTAATGGAAATTTACATGATAATAAAGAAAAATTTGAACTTGGTAAAAGCACCGTGCACGTTGGAACAAATACAGATTCTCAGTTAAGGTATTGTATATGAAAAATGTGCATTTGTTCTCCTTGTAGAACAATCCATGATGCATGTTTTGTAAAACATCTTACCAATAATTTTACTAAGTGAATAATCCGGACAATAAGTTATTATAATCTTTTGCAGAAAATGTCAGCGCATCTTGTCACTCTCGGATTTTTGGGATACTAATCCAATCAGGTCGCATGAAGAAACGCTTAGAATCAAGCTCGAGGAAGAGAAATTTCGCAGAGAGGTACAATAAAATGTATGCACGTGTAAGTCCATGGATAATTGCCTATTTTATATTTTCAGCATTGCGAGCATCTGATACAGGAGCTTCAGAAACGCCTGCTGGAACAGCAGGAAAAGGTGGCGGTAGCGGTTAGAGTGGACAATGAGAAGAATGTTTTGATATCTCAATTTCACGCGGCTTGGTCGAAGTTGAAACAGCAAGTCGAAATGCTGGAGACGGAACACAGAAGCTCGCGGACTAATCTGCAAAATGTCACGGAGAAGCATCAGTCCGAAGTCGCGGAACTTCAATCTCAGATCAAACGTCTCGAACGGGAATTATCGAAAGCGTTAGACTTGGCAGCCGGATATAAAGAGAAGAGCGACACCACGAATAAAGAGAAAATCGATTTACTGAAGACCCATGCGGACGAATTAGAAAGTTACAAATCCTTGGTTCAAGAGGCGGAGAATCGATGTGAACAAATGAAAATTGAATTCAACGCACTCTTGGGGAAAAGCCAGCAGAGAGAGGAGACATTGAGAACCGTGCAATCAGAGTTGAATAGGGAACGTTTGAGGGAGACTGAGGTGCGAAACGAGATGGGCCTGATTCGTAAAGCGTTAGACACCTGCGAAGCCGAATTGATAGTGCTCAAACAAGAGAAGGAGCACATGCAGCTCAAGCTCAAAGAGGAGATCAACAGGAATTCGATTTTAGAGCAAAAGAACTCGTCGCTGCTTGTATCCATCGATGACGCTAAGAAAGCGGAAGTAATGTGTTACGAGATATTTGTGAGATATCTGCGTGTAATTCTTCTTACTGTGTGTTATCGCGTTTTCGTGTTTCCAGAAATTAGCGAAGGATGAAATCAAGTCTGTCGCGGAGCAAAAGGAAAAGATCAGGGCGGAATTGCAGGAAGTTTATCAGAAACAGGTGGACGAGGTGGTGAAGGCGAAACTGCAGGAATTTCAGACGCAGCTCGACACCGCCGAGTCTGACTTTTTAGAGGAGATGAAAACAAGGCAGCAAGTTATAGCCGAATGCGCTGCCAGGAAGATAAAGGACGTCATCGACAAGTTTGTTCGCTTTTATCTGCACAATAATGTATCAATAGACCAGTGAATATTTCGAGATATATATTCGAACGTGAAATATTGAACTCTACTTTCAGACATCATTTGGAGATTAACTTATTGGAGGAGAAGCACAAAGAAGAGAAACGGTTGTGCGAACTGCAATTGGCTCAAGCCCTGCAGAAATCGTCTATGTTGGAGACGCACTTGAATTCCCAGCGCGCCACCAAGTCCCAGCTTGCGGAACAGTTGCACTCGGTCATGCAGAAACAATGGCAGCAAGCTCTGCACATTATATCGGGTAAGTCGGCAAACGTATTCGAGCTGGTATCCAAACGTACGATTACGTGTCAGTGCCGTTATTATGTCGAAGTTTGTAGCACGAGTTTACATCACGCGATTCGTAGACTACAGGATACAATTACAGGTGGTAACACGGACAATTTAGCTCCGATTCAAAAGATTCACGCGGACAAAGGTCCCGTGAAGTCCGAATCAATGCCAAATTGTCACGCTAAACTTTCCCAGGAGCCGACGAGGTACGCGCCGCAATCGTTGGAGGTGCAAACCGGCGTGCAACCCCTTGACGATCAGAACGAAAGCGCGGTCACGATCAATTCTATTGATAATACGCCGTTGACTAGTAGAAACGGCTCGAAGGATGACCTTCGGAAATACGTGAAAATGGTCAGTGGGATCCGGGTGGATAATTAATTTCATTTCATTTTTCGTTCATTTCACTCGTGATTGTTAATAATCGCGCTAGTTGGACGCGAACCTTTTGCAGATCGCGGAAATGCAGCTGGCGAGGGAGGACATCACGAAGCACAGAAACTCCATTTCGAGTCCGCCGTTGGTGTGCAGAGAGGTGCCGCGAAAACATTATATGAAGAAAGAATTAAGCATCAAGAGCGAGGACAGCATTTCATGGCAGCCAATTCCCGAGGTTTGTCTCTTGTCGGTCGATCAGTCGTGATAATTGGAACGTACGCGCGACAAAAACAAAATAACATCGCTTTATCGTTAGACTTGTACGCGCGACGTCGACGAAAACACATCTTTCTCACAAAAAATGATTGCTAAAGCGGACCAGCAGAGAAGTAAGCCTCCTTGGAAATGACACGTCAGTTATGAAGTCAACGACGACGTCGACGACACCGAAGGCGTGGACGAACTCGATCGCGTTAGCTGAATTCGATACGGTGTAACTTAACTAGCAGTAACGCCGGCTTTTGTACGACAGATTCCCCAATATCTATTTTTTAACGCGAAGAATTTAATAAAAGGACGTTTTTACACTTCGACCTACTTCAATTTCAATACTTCTACCCGCCCTCCCTTCTTTCCCTGGTCTTGCCTCCTTGCGTGAATATAACGTTGAAAGCGTTATTTCGCGAATTGAAAATGGAAATATCGATATACAATCTTCTTCTTTCGCTTACATCTCTTAACAGCAGGTCTTATAATAATTCCGATGGTATTGATCTATTACCTGCTAATTTTTGTTACGTTACGCATGCCCGAACTGTCCAATTTTTAGCTTGACATCAGCCTCCACGTTTCGAAACATGTTCATCGCGATTTATAGCATTCTTATTGCCGAGCGTGCGGAGGAAAAGGATGTGCGATAAAATAATAGGTTGATAACAAAGAAGAGTTTATATCTCACAGAACGGGAATTCAACGCGGCTTGAAGCGAGATGCTTGCGCAAGCGCTTTTCTAAACCCGGATTTTATATACATATATCTTTGGATACACATAAATTTCGTGTAAGTTGCGGTTATCCACTAAACAGATTACGCACTCCGACTATCTGTGGTTCACAGAATATTGATAGAGCTATTTTGTCCGAACAACTCATCCGTAACGACAAACTCCGTGGCACTGCTCATAGGAGCGGCGAGCGCTGCATTTTTTCATTGAAAAAATTTTCCATTTTCTTCTCGTATTTTGATGATTGAACATCCCTAATTCCAGCACAAATTCTCATTTAGGTTCGCATATTTCGATTTATACAATAAAGATCGGAGTTCGTTACACGTAGACGAGTCTGTTCAATATCAATGTCACATGTTAAACACGTTTGCTTCGTGTAGAATGTTGCATGCTGATATCGTTCAGGGAAGCGCCGAATCGCTTGTCGATGTGCGCCGTGAATGATAATTTATCCATACCTCGTGCAATACACATCGCACGCGAAAGAACGCGATGTGTCACATGTCTGGAAAATTTGTGCTAAACTAAAGCCTCGCTCGCTTATTGATCGCATTATCGCCTTTGTTGTAATAGTCTTGTCGAACTTCATAATTACGATGTGACGGATGTGATTGCTTCACTGCAACATCGACTCGTCCGTTGCGTTGCAATTATTAAGCGATGAATGTGCTATTGTTCTCTCTGAACACATATCTTTCATCAGATAATGTAGAAGATAACATTAAGCTGTTATTATTTACTGCGATTTGACGTTCCTAATTAATCAATTCTGATTTAATTTTTTAAAAAACTTTCTTCATGTCCAGATCATAAATTGTCAGAAATTGCTCAGATAGACATAAATGCTGAACGCGATATGCAAACATTTAATGTACATTTAATTTCATGTATACTTTGTGATGCCATCGCAACAGTACATGTTTAAAATATGTTTTAAGAAATCTGTATTACGTTACAATTTAATAATCAAGGTATTGACTTCTTATTACTACAATAATTCCGCATTAATTGCGTTCTCTTGCGAGCGGCAATATTGCCGCAATTTTTACGGCGTCAGACGAAAATTCTCGTTGTGTGAGGACGAATCTTCATGCATTCATGCTGGTCACGATGCAGACGATAAATCCAAATATGTCTGAGTGAGATGATCGTAGGAAACGCTGAGGAAGAGAGAACTGGCAGCGAATCACAATCAAATTTGCCCGTCTGCCCATTGAATACGAGCGGCGATACCGTCGTTGCCGCGGTCGATGACCGGAAAAAGTCAATCCTGTTTCTATAAAACCGCCCTCTTCTTCTTCCTCGCATCCGCGTTGCAATCGTAAAGCCGCATCGCCGGCTGTCGTTTCTCGCTAGAGACGACACGATCGTAAATTTCGCAATCGTAATTCGAGTGCGAAAGGATCGCGAATCTCCTGCGGATTGCGCCAGAAAGCACGGGGAAGGCACAACAGGACAACCCGAGCACCGAGCGCTCGTCGCGTTCGGCTCTTCAAGCCCATAAATGACGATCACGCCTACGGAGTCCTGGTACCGAGCCGGCGCCAGTTATGAGGATTCTACGCGCGGAACAAGTTGCCGATTGAAAACGAAAGAGCAGCAAGAATGCAAAGGGAGGAACGTGATAGTGACCACCCCCTCTTCGTCCGTATAGATGGTAGAGAGTCATGAGTCGTGTCCGTTCTTCGTGTTCTTTCTCTCTCTCTCTCTCTCTCTCTATCTCTTTCTCTCTCTCGCGCGCACATTGCTCGTGTATGTACGTACGTACGTGGCCTTTAGTCGGCGGGCAAAGCCTCGGCAGTGAGGAGACGTCGCGCGTCGACTATCTTAGCCGGGTCAGTTCGTACGTGCGTGCCGTTACCGTGAGAGCCGGAGGAGCTTGAATGCACGGCGAAGATGCAGCCCGAGACCGGAGGACGCTCGCTATTCTGCTGGTTAACAATAGCGCTGCTCGTCGGCCTTCTCGTCGACGACACCGGCGGCGTTTGGAAGAGACGGGAGGATAAGACCAAGTGCCCGAAAGTGAAGGGCATACGCAACTTTGACATCTCCGAGGTACGGGGTTCCCCGTGACGAGCGCGCGCGCGCGCGGCGCGAGGTCACACACAGAGCGCGGAAGTGATGAGCGAGAGGAGTTTGAGATTTTGTTTCTCGCCGCGACAGCGATTTTCGCAACGGTGTTTCCGCAACAATGGGAGACGCATCGGCTCTCTGTCGGTTTATTGCGTTTATTTCGAATGGTAATTTCGTTTATATTCGCGCTTGTGTGTTAACACGCGCGCGAGAGATAGTCTCGTGCAGAGGCAGGGACAGGTCAATAATTTAAATTCGCTCTCCGTGGTTTCTCCGGGCAGAGTGGATTTTCTCCGGTTATACGAACGAAGCGGATCGCTTTCGCGTGTGTATCGATGCTGCGTGGAGCTTTGGCGAACCAATCGGCTTATTTTCTCTATACACCTTGCTGCTTCTATTTTCTAAAAGTCGGTAAACCAGACGAAACGGCTGGGAATTTATTTCGAAATTGAATATCCGACGGAAGTTTAAATGTCCGTTAGATTTTCCGAGACCGATTCTAAACTCGTTGCGAGAATTTTGTATCTGAATGTAAGCGCAGTTTCGAACTGTTCTTTCTTTCTCTGTCTGCGTATGTGCGTTTCTGCGCTTTTCGCATTTTCTTCCACTGCTGAAAATGAAAAAATTATATTTTTACCAGAAATGATATCAATTGTTAATTTCTATCCTTTTTTTGTTATTTTTTCATTAAGAAATCAGATAGAATATGTTAAAAAGCAACGCAAATATTATGTCAAAAGTTAACAAAATTATAATAATACTGGTTAATCGAAATATAAAATGTGTTATTTTAACACTTACACACGTTGAACATCGATACAAAATGTTGAGATAACATAAACACAATATATTAAATTAACACACGGATATATGTTAGAAATTTAACACAAAAACTTGAATAAGAATCGATTTTAACACAAGTAAAAAAAACAAAGTTTATTGCTTCATAGAGTTTCGTACACGAATTAATTCGTAAGTTGGCGATAAGGGAAAAGAAGAATCTCATACTGTCATTTCGCGTATCTCTTTCTCTATCGCGCTTTAATTCTCGGTAATTACAGCCGCTCCAGAGCGAATCAAAATCAACTTCCGCCGATGTTATTTGTGCGGCGCCCGATATTGTCATGAAGTTCGCAACGCCTCTCAGCCCGGCGGGTCGAGCCGTTTCGGGCATAATTTTGTGGAGCAATTTGATCGTGTTATTTACGTAGTGGGCACGCGTTGTTTGACGCGCTTCATTCGAGCCGCGATATTGCCCGCGCGAAATAGCGCGACGCGCGCTGACGTATTATCCGCCGTCGGATGCGACATCGGAAACGCACAATCAATAAACAATTCGTCGGATATGTTGGCCGAATATTAATTATTGTACGGCCGGCAATCCGCGTCTATTTGTTATACGCGGTATAACGCCGATTTTACGCAATAGCGTATCGAAATTATCGCTCGCTGTTCAATTAACGGTACAGATTGGTCTGACACGAGGTCGTGACACGACGAGCGTCGCCGCTTGTCGCTGGCATTCCTGCCGGCGAATATCGCGAATTCTCACGCGTAACATCGCGCTCGTTAGCCGCTTTTCCGACGGAATTTCCACGTCCCGCGAAAAAGCGGCGCGCGTCCCGGCGTTAAGCGCGCACAATGCCGTGTATTATTAGGAGAAATTATTTCGCTGTTTTACGACGAGAGACAAAGTGCGCGACCGTCGCTCCGGGTGCTTGCAATATCTGCGTGTGTGGGTGTTGGGTGCAACAATGTTTGTATACACGCAATTGCCTCTAATGGGAGCGTCTAGGCGCGCTGAGTTATTTGCAATTTCGTTTGTGATGGCCGCGAGTGTGAAATATTACTACTTAGGGAGAGGCTCTCCGCTCGCGCGGCCTTTCTTTTCGCTGGCGTTCGGCATTCGGCGGATTTATTTTTGGATCTTAATGTGTATTTAAAGGAAGACTATTTCGGACATGTCGCGTACACGCGACCATTTCCGCTGGTTGATTTGCTTTTCGCAAACGGCGATAGAGACAGTGCGGCGAAGCGGATCGTACGCGCGGATGCCCTTTAATCCTCGCGCCGCTCGGCTTTTTCAAGTCGTAGATCGAGCAGGATAAAACGCAATCCATATTTAGAGGCGAGCTTTTTCAAGTATTATTTTAGTCGCGCTCCGTAGTACCGCGGCATGTTTTTCAACTAGGCGCGGTATAAAAACGGTGACGTTTTTTTTGCCCCGGCGATTAAGATACGCTATGATAAACTGTACTTGAGCCTTCCGGGCCTTTTTAGACCGACCGTATATCACTTCATAGAGATAGGCATTGAACCAGGGCATTTGCGATAACCCAAAACTTCGAAGTGTCTCTCGCGCTTTCATCGTAAATCCGAATAATTTGTTGCACGCGCTCGCGTTTTCGACGAAATACACGATGTTTTATACGTACATGTGAGAATATGCCTCTCTCTTAGCGATATATTAATGATCTCTTGATAATTCGGCTGGTATGTGTGATGTAACGCCTTCAGTGTGTTTGAAAAGAGAAAACTAACAGAAGGATTTGAATCAACAGCAAAAATTCACGAAAGAATTATGCGAGGGAGATACTTTCCAAGCACTGTGCATTAAATATCATAAAACTGCAAGTTTGACTGTTACAATGCCCTTTCAGTGAGATTTGAAATGTTAAGTTTATACGACATCGATGTGAATGAGGCACGCCAGAAATAGGCTCGGCAGATTTTGAATTCGAGGCTAATAGGATTCTCCTCTTCGCATTTGCCGCCATTTGCACGTTATTATTAGAAAGATCAAATTTTGTCGATAACACGATGTCCAGCGTAAAATCGATCGCATCGAACAATAATTTTTAACAGGTTTGTTCGTATATCAAGTTTACAAATATCCCGTATGTAAATATCTATATAGGTTCTGAATGGGAAATAAATATTTCGCGGACCAAAGCTCGACGGGGAGCACAATGAAATTCGAGAGTTACGTTGTGCGGAATTACACATTCGGATAAAGACAATGGCGCACATAATCGTGTTCGGTAAATTCCCCGAACGTGTTTCTAGCGCCATCCGCGCGTCGAGAACGCGATCGCTTGACCCGCGAAGCGCATGCATTCATTAGCATATGTTAACACGAAGAAAATCAACGCGGCGTGTAAACTGTTGCGCCCATTTCACGCGTGACTTTACACCTACATGCCTACTACAGCACGTAACAGACACCTTGCGCTTCTTGCAGTTTCTCGGATCGTGGTACATTGTACAGTACTACGCAAGCTCAGAGGAAGCTCTCGCGTACAGATGCATGAGAGCCGAGCTCTCGGTCTCGCCCGAGAGCGCAGAAGTTACCATGAATTTCACTTACAGCTTTACCGACGATCCCATTAACGAGTTGCTCGTTGGTAACATCACGTGGAAGATCCCTTCGTCGGATTCACCTGCCCACTGGGTGCACGCCGAATTTCCATGTAAACAGCTATTTAACTCGTAATTAATCTACTTCCGTCCGATCCGTCGATAAATCACTTTTGGAAGTTCCATGCGACACTCTACAATCCGCGAAGGCAGTTTAAGTAACAACTCATAATTATGAAGTTGTTATTTAAACTCAATTCCCACTCACACGAGTCGCTTCTTACCGCTTTTAACTTTTATCATATTAACATTGACGCCGATTTCGTGAGTTGGAAGTTTCACCCTTCTTCTCTTTTGAATTCATCCAGATATTAAACTTAGAGTTTCTTTTCTGAAACTTTCCACACGCATGATTTCCGCAGGAAAAAGAAACTTGAGTTTCTCCTAACGTCGCTGTAATAATTTGCATGCGCCGTTAAAAATAGATAGTAATAAATATTACGTACAGATAATCTCTGTCTCAAATGGACAATTTACGCATTTAATAGATAAAAAATTCGATCTTTTCCAGACGAAGGAGTGTACAATACGTATGTGCTAGATTCGGATTATAAGTCCTGGGCGTTGCTAATGCACTGTGCTGAAAAGAGCAAAAGTCCACGATATTTATCTAGCTTCATCATGAGCCGTGAAGAGAGCCTCGGGGCGAACGTCATTTCTTATCTGCGCGAGAAACTGCCTAGGTACGTTCGTCTCGGTTTAACGTCTACCTCTCGCTCGAAAGTACTTATTAAAACAGATTGGTTTTATCATGTTTCTTAAAAACCGAGATTTTCCACTGAAGGAGAAATTTAATCTAACGAGACTCACATTGTCAGTGGAAATTGTTCAAGTTAAACCAGTCAAAATATATATATATTTTTTTGTTATTTCATGAAATTATTAACGGAAAATGAATTCTTTCATCTTTTTAATACGTAGATATGACATCGACTTGGAGTACATGTTTCCCATGGATCAAAAGCAGTGTAACAAAACGGAAGATCTGCTTATACCGCCGTTTATACCCATCAAGAAAGGCTACACCAGCCGAAGGCACCCGTTGAAACGGAAACATAGGCGCTCGTGAATTTCACTGCTCCTTCAGGAACGACACACATCTGAAACATCGTAAACGCTTTAGAATAAGGAAATCTTTCTGTATCGAATTTAATATTTCTCGTCAGCCGATGCTGATCATATTTCTCCGATATCAAGTGAGAAGATGTGTAACGCTAGTCTTTAAACATAAATTATAACTGCAAAAGCCTTTGAATAGCGGATTTAATTTACATATTCAATTTACTCGTATCAATGCAGTTAATACGACTTGTCGTAACGATCGTACGTCTGTTCCATTTTTTCTAATACTTAAAAAGACATGTGATATATCTCTATATATATATGATTTGGATGTTCCAAACTATCGGGTGTCTATACACATTGGAGAAAAGCGTGACAATGGAAAAATAAAACGGAAGGGTGGATGTGAGGAATGGTAATATCCGAAGCGTGCGGACGATCTCGCTCGAATCAAAAACAGCAGACCGTTACTTTGGGCTAATTTTATTAATTCAATTAACAACGTGTTATAATATTCTTCGTCTCTTCCTCTTATTTATAATTACATAATTGTAATGAACTGTTATTGTTTTCTTTAGACCCGTCGTCTCCCAACATCTTAGCACAACTCGTCCGAATTAACTGACACGCACGTGCGGCGGCACGCAGGATCGTCACGATCTCACCGTCGTAATCGTTATCATCAGCATCGTCATTATCGTTTTATCATTAGCGTAACAGTCGTCGTCAGATTATCACTCAACGCACCTAATTACTTAATTACTGGAGATATGGCAGCTACAACTTATAAGAAATATTACAAAATCACTTGTGACTCTCATTCTCCTCACGCTTGCACAATATTTTACGCATACGAACGCTATCACACCGAGACGGGCGATCCCTCCCTTCTTTCCTTCCTTCCTTCCTACCTTCCCTTCTACCTTTCTTTCTTCGTTAATTTTTAGTTCGCGCACGAGCGATCGCGCGATCTCATTCGATGAGACCGCGTTCGGCTCCGTGTAAAGTCGGTTCTGTCCGGTGCGCACAGTCGCCGGTCCTCGCTAGAGCGCGACCTTTCGTTTCGTCCGTGACCTCTGCCCTTCGTTTTCGCGCGTTTCTGAAATATATAATAATCGGGCGCTCGTGACGAGCCAGACGCGTTGTTTCGCGCCCGCTTTCGTGTAGCGTGCGGAATAGGAAGAACGCGCAGGGGCGTCGAGGGACACGCGGCATACGACAGGTTCGTTCGCTCCCGTTATAACGTACGTTTCGAGATCATTAGTGGTGGCGAGCGTCGACTGCCCCCCGGGACAGATCCGTCGCGATGAGCCGTCCGGTCGCAATGTAGTTTACCGCTAAAGCTCTATCACATCGCGCGCCCGCTAAACTATCACACCACACCGCTAAACTATCACACCATTCGCCCGCATTCACTCTCCTTTTTTCGTTCTACGGGCGTGTGCATACGCGAATCGCCTATTATTAGTCTCCTAATAATTCATCAGTATTAATTAGTCGTACATTTAATTCTTTTTCTCTTTTAATCACTCGTAAATTAATTACCTATAGTCGTTAAATCTGTATCTTGTAAACCTGTACTCGCGCGCATGCGACCGCTTTGTGCGTACGCGCGCGTACATACGTACGTCTCTATGTGCGTGCAAGTGTGTGTGTGTGTGTGTGTGTCTTCGTATGTTTTTTGTTTCTGTATCTCTGTGTGCGTGTAAATGCGCGTGTACGCGCGGTATGTGTGCCGTACGTGTACGCGTGTTATGCCTCTGTGTCTTCAGTATTATTTCATATATCTGATAGACTATCTATTTATTTGAAATTTACGTTTTATAAATACCCTATAGTAAATCGCGATTTTCTTCATTTTTTTCCTTTTCTCTTCTCTCTCTCTTTGTTTTTCACTTTTGTTGCTCCGCCATTCGATTATGCGCTTTTGTACGAGGGTGTAATGCGAACCGACTGATATTGTATAGTTTGACGTGTGCCCGTATTATGCGCGTGTATACGTGTATATGTGTATACGTACGTGTGTGCGTGTGTGTTCGTTCGTGTATATATAACCAACTTAATAATCGCGTACAGGTGCTTCCGAGTGAGCGTAGAATTCTCGCCGCCGGATCGATATCCGCCGTCCGTGCATTCGTCCGAAGTATGTGCGACTCGGTTTCGGGCTTCTCGGGTGTAAATGGTAACAGGGCTGAGTGAGTTGGTCGATAGGCGGCTTGGTGAGTGTACGAGTTACGACCGGGTGTGTTCCACGTGCGACAATAACGACGAGAATGACAATGGGACGGGCGAGTGCACGGTCAAGCGAGCGAACGAGCAAGCGAGCGAGCGAGCCGTCTCGCTTCGACGGCGGTCTCGATTGTCGAAAGTAGAGATGTGAGAGAAGCGCGGTGTTACGGTGATTAGAAATAGATAGAAATCGCGACAGAGAGAGAGAGAGAAAGAGAAAGAGAGAGACAGAGGGATGAGACAAGAGACAGAGATATAGAAAGAGAGAGAGGAAAAGAGAAATAAAAAATCGTAACTAGGAAAAATACAGAAAAGAACGGCAGAACGAAAGAAGCGCTCGCGCATACGCGTAATTTCGCCGCGGTGGGGTTCCCCGCGGCGCAAGAGAAGATGAACACTCGTTAGATATTAGTAGAAGTACTAGACGAAACCGGCGAAGTTCTCTACTGCTTAAAGTTACAGTTAAATAACGGACGGCCGGCAGCACACCAGTTCATTTTTCTGTTCTTCTTTTTCTTCTCCCTCGTCTTCTTTTTTTTCTTTTTTGGTTGAACGGTCAGACGTGTTTCGATTATTGCGATGAGAGACTCGTCTTTTATTTTTATATTTATATTGTATATATNTATATATATATATATATATATATATATATATATATATATATATATATATATATATATATATATATATATATATATATATATATATATATATATATATATATATATATATATATATATATATATATATATATATATATGTATATATAAGGGCACTGCCGTGCCGCACGATCTAGCTTCTTTTCGTTTAAATAGTTACGATAAAGTACGAGATAGGAGGCAAGTACAGTTTACGGAAAATTCGAGTGATAGACTCCGCAGGTAGGAGAAGGGATACGAAGGTGCAAGCCGCTTCGTTGACGTCCGCGTGAAGGAAGCATGAACGGCCGTCGTTTCTTTTTCCTCGGCTTTTGGTTTCCGCGCCCCGCGCACGAGATTTCCTCCGGCGCTTGTCACCGCACGTGGCTCGTGTTCGCAGGCGACCGTCATGAGCCGCGTGACGTTCGCGTGGACTCGCTGAAACCGGGCCGGGAATGTGCCGAGAAATGCGACAGAGTGTATGTGTGTGTGTATGTGGAATATAGAGAGAAAGACACGCATTCGTAGCAGTCTCGTCCAAGAGGAGCCCCAGCTGATCGGTGTCGCCCGCTTCGTTACCTTCGTTACATCTCGGGGAAGGAAGAAACAAGAGGAGGAGGAGGATGACGAGGGGGAGGAAGGGGAGATGCGGGGAGTGATTAGTGGTCCGCGAGGAAGCGTCCGTCTCCGGACGCATCGTTCGATCTCGTCGTGCCCGAACCGGCACACTCCGCTTCGTCTTCTTCATCATCCTCTTCTGCGGTAGGTCCGACGCGACTCGTCGGTGAGGTCGGCGATGTCGATCGTCGACGACACGGCGATCGGGACGACACGTCGCGCGCGCGCGCGCGCTGGTCTCCTCTCGTGTCCCGACTGGTAAAAATAATTGGCTACGCAGCGATGGAAAGAACTTCGTGAACACACGGCCATCCTATAGTCACGCACTCCGGTCGTTCGTTCACCGTCGGCCGGGCCATCGTCAGCCGATCGGCGGTGAGCACGTTTGTGGCTTGGTCCGACGTGCGCGTGCACGTGCGCCCGTTTTGATCAATCGGCCGCGGGCCGCTCGTCGCCGGCCGCGGTAGCTTCTCGCCGTCGGATCTTCGCGAGGTGATCGATGTTCGTCCGATGGTCGTCATGGGTCGTCCCGATCACTACTTCACCCGCGACGAGCCGTTGCAGTCCGCGGTGACGATCTGACGAATCGGCGACGACCGCTGTCAGTAGACCCAAGAGACGGGCACCCACTGGGGTGTCGTGTGCACGCGCTCGATCGCGCCCTCCAGCTGAGCGATCGTCTCGTCGAGGTCGTTGTTCACGATGGTCAGGTCGAAGAAGTGCCCGTACGCCTGCTTCAGCATGTCCGACTCCTTCGCCAGCCGCTCCAGACTGCCGTCGAGCTGAAAAACGCGAACGACACCGTTAGAGAAATCCGACCCGTCCGCCTGGATTCCGCTGTTCAAATGGCTGATCGGGGGAACGTCATGAATCGGATGATAAAGTAAGACAATTCATTGAACCTGATAATGACCGATCGAAGTGCCCTACTCTCGTGTTCATCGTCGAAACTCGCCGAACGAAATGCTCCATCGGTCGTATCTCGGGAGAAACATTTCGCGTTGCGAAGATAAAATCACGTGTTATTTTATGCGCTCTTTCTAGAGAGTCGCCTCGTCGTCGACGATCGACTTCGCCGACCTCACCGACGAGTATTTCGCGTCGCATTTCATATCGGGTGCTATTACTACTGTGCATGTGTATATTTAAACTGCATTATACTGCGAATTTTAAATAAGTGATTTTTTAATTAGAGACGAAACGCCAATAATATCGGAATTAACGCATTTCATACTATCGAGCGACGAGCGCACACTTATTGTTTATTAGCATATTATATTTATAGCGCCGGCCCACAGAGCCGCCGCTGTTCTTTATCGATTTCCAGCTGGAGTGCATTCGCAAACAGCAATTGGTCGGTTAGAAACAACTATTCACTCAGGAACAAGTGGGCCGATGATTGTTTACCCGATTAATTTGCTAAATCCATTATTCATTTGAAGATCGCTGAATAGTTGGCTTAATTGCTCAATTGGCGTGCAGGCATTCCCGGCTCACGCTGTTAGCTATGAATCAAGAACTGAGCCACGTTTCGGCGTAGATCGGAGAATATTTGCACATATCGGTGTTCCCGATACCTTGTACTCTTTGACGGGTCCTTTGGTTCGGTAGTGCGTTAGTGCGCTGCAGAATGCGCTGTTATAGAACTGAGTCTCTTTGACAATTAATCACATTTCACGAGGAACACTTTAAAGCCAATATTATAGACTGGATATAGCTTGAGCGAGGTAACATTTTCCGTGTGTGTGTACCGCGTTCTTAATTAATTCTCTTATGCTATATAATTTGATACGTAAATGGGATATACTTTACGCGATGCTTTATGTAAACGAGAAACATACAATTGTTATTTTAACGCTGTACATGAGTTTAAATGTTAATATAATAAAATCGAGAAATATATACACGCAGACAAGGTATCGGCAATATAATGTTCGTATAAAAAGAAATTAGAACGTTATTGTTGGCCACAATGTATGTTGAGCTATATGTTTTTAAACACACTCCCCAGCCGGTTATACGCATTGTATGAAATAATGCCACAAGGTATGTACATATGAATAGGTGCGTCTATATTTTATTATGAATTTATGAATGTCCCATTTTTGCTCGTACTGCATATATCCGCCAATAAATCTCATATTGTAATAAAACACGCTCGTCGACTCGATACGAGCGCTATGCGGTCTAGGGAGGAAATATTCGGAATATGCAATATATAAGTTTATTCTTCAAGCCCCTGCACGTGCGAAGCTTGTTTTCATACTTACGTCCGCAACGTTTTGAAATACTGGTGCGGCGATGAAGACGACGTAAGGTGCAAATTCAGCGGTACGTAAAACTTTCAGCGCCTGCGGTTCGACGTCCAATATGGCCATTCTGCCTTCTTCGTGAATTTTGCGAATAGTTTCGAGTTTAGTCCCGTACATAGCGTCTTCGTGCGTACCTGTTCGCAGAAATAAAACGGATGAAATCTCAGACTCGATAGTCGATGTCCTTGCGGGACTTTCATCAGAAAAAGATTTGCGCTCGCTGTTTCTCAACTTACCGTATTCGAGGTATTCATTAGCAGCTATATCCGCCATCATCTCATCGTGCGATACGAAATAGTAATTACGACCATCCTCTTCGTCGTTTCGCGGAAGCCTCGTTGTATCTGCGCATCGAACAAATTAATTCGATAAATATACTCTGTATATTTTACACACGTATTTATTTTTTTTTTAATTTTATGATTCTTTTACAATAAAATATAATATCATTAATTTCATATATTGATATTACACAAACGTTCGAGATACTCACGCGGAATAGGATAGGCGTATTTATCGGGATGCTTGGAGATAATCGTGTTCTTTATGTGCCGTCGGCCGACACCATGTGCTCCCAATAATACTAATGTCTTTCTCTGAAAGGCAGGATCTGCAAAAAGGAAGATAATGTCACGATTTTTTGGTTAATTAACATCCAGATATTCGGTGTGTGTCGTAACGCATATATTTCATGTGAAATTATCTAGATAAATTCAACGAATTGAAATTAATTACTATAATTAATTATTATATGAAGATTACACGAAGCAACGGACGAAACTTACAAGGAAGCTTCACGACCTCTTCGTAGGTCACCAGGTCCAGCTGGTCGAAAACAGCATTGTGCTTAGCGAGATATTTATCCTTATATTGCTTCTTTTTCCGGCCGAATATTGAGCAATTTACTGTAAGCAAGAAAGAGTCGTTAATGCGGACGCCGGAGGAACTCGAGACTCGGTCGCCTCCGCCTGCCTCGAAGACGTCTGTCCGACGTAAACTTGCAAATTACCGTGCAAGTGTCACGTTACGGAATCCATTATCCGTGTTAATTAAAAGAGTCCCGCGCCTTTGTAGATATCGATAGACGTCCGTTAAATCGATCCCAAGGGGGACGATCGCGGTATCGTGGTCGTCTCGTAGCGAGATCGAATCGCGAATTCAGTTTACGCACACCACGATATGCACACGCGCACGTGAGTGTGCACCAGAAATCGCGTCACGAGCGAAGCGACGGCTCGATTTTTTACGAGGGAAAAAAAACGACGACTCTTCCTCCACAATGCGGATCGTAAATATGCATTGAGCATTTCCTCTTCAACGAAATCCACCAATAATGCGCGACGTGCACGACGTGGTCGACGAGAGATAAGCATGACGGAGATCGTTTTCCGCAGAAGACACTCGTACAGAAAGATCGTTCACGAATTCGCTAGAATATCTTGTGATCACGTCTCCTAAATATGCGTATATCGCCCGACAGAGCGCGTTACCCCTATCGGAAATGCGGGCACGCACCGATGTGCGTGTATATCAAGGTCGTGGCGGTCTCTCGGAATGGGAACTTGAGGGGGGGGGGGAATTAATGAGAGAGTCACGCCGACGTGAAGCGACGGACTGTTACTCGGCGACAACGTCGCTTCCTGGGTCAAGCAAGATCTTGTCTATATCGGTATAAAAAGAATTCATTCAATCAGCCAGTTCGAAAGAAGCCATGCCCAAAAGGCACTCGGGAGTCCTATTGAGAGGGGTGTTCCAGCAGGTCACAAGATGACATCGTAAGGTCCGTGGTGTAAGAGATTAATGCGTGAAACCTTGAATACGCGTCATAATCGGAGCCACGGTGAATATCGCGAGTGTGTTATCCTCCCGCGATTGCGGAACTGTCGAATGCACCAAAGGGAAGCCGCGTGTCGCTATATCGTACATTGAAGGTTCGCGTGATAGCACGACTGTATAAACCCGTGATACCTTGCCAAAATATTCGGGAGGTGGACGGCTCGAAAAACGCCGTCATTATCCGGAAACTTGAGACACGGGGCGGAAATCGCGAGGGGAAAGTCGCGTCTCCGGAACTTTTGACAAGACATTCTCCGGGTGTCATTGACCGTTAATCTCCGGAATTCGATCGATTGACTATCCGTTGTAAGCTCCGATTATAATCGTGCTGCCGCGATATGTTTGCGAGTGAGGTCGTGCGAGACAAGCAGAGAAGTGCGTGATACGTTTTTTTTTGTTTTTTTGTTCTTTTTTTTGCGGCGAACGCATGCATCGAAGCACGCTGTGTAAAAGCATCTATTAATGTGTTACACATAGAATGCCATATATCGCTTACATTAATATATCATTGTTGACATTATGCTGATAATAATTTATAGATCACGTTACACAAAATCATGTACGCAGGCCTGAAAAATGAAAACTCGTGAAAGCTGTAACTTGTGTTACTGCGATCCTTGATTTTACGAAATTTACGAAACTGACATCCATTTTCATGCATCACGTAAGATGTACATGTATTTCTGCAAATTGTATAATTTCACGATACAATTCTTTCCCCCGAGAATCCGTACGTGATGGATAAAAATTAATGACATTCTTGAAATCAGAGTGCAGAACTTATTTCAAAGAAGCAATTACTGAATTCTAAGAGAGAGAGAGAGAGAGAGAGAGGGGGAGGGGGAAACAAAACGATTGCAAATCTATGTTCCTCTTCAGTGAATAATTGTTTAGCATTGCGACTGCGATTTGTAGGAAATTAATGGTTGTTTATTGCGCATATTGCATGAGTATTTATGCACTGCGTAACAAGCTCGATACAAATCGATATATACACCATCTTCATAGAGCATAGCGATGTGTAAAATGTAAAACATTATGTCGAAGCTTCGTTCGGGAGATGAAACAGACGGTGTGTTTTCGGAACTTTTTATCCAGACAACTTTTTCCTACCGGTAGAAACAACCGGCTTACTGTTAATTACATGGTCAAATAAATGAAAGGTTCCCACGTTCAATGTACAATCCCATGCCTAAATTTCACCGTTTCGTCATTGTAATCGAATGATGCGTGAAAAAAACAGTATTGTACGATGTACAGATGCAAAGATGCCGATTATCGCCCGTTTACAATAGAAAGTCGCGAAAATGGCAAATTTTACGCATGAAATGAACTTGGAGATGGTCCACGCGTGCCACGAACGCGATCGAAAATCGTCGTTCTTCCGCACGACGAAACCGAGGTATAGACGTTCTATCCTACTTCTTCCGTTCAATCGAACATCTCGTCGTCCGTCTTACTTTCGATCTTCTCTGTAAGTGATGCGTGTATTTAGAAGCATGGGTCCAGTCTGTATTTCATGCGTCTAAAAACGGTCCTACGTGACTGACTCTACACGTGTCTACCTGAAGGCAGAGACGTACCTGTCGAGCCGTCGCAGCCTTCGGTGTGAGAAGAACATCCACCTTCTCCTTCAGCGTCTAGCCCCGCATAACACACAACAACAGATATATCACTGCAGCTAATTATTCCTGTGAAGTCTAGCTCTCCGTTTGTCTATTCCTAATCCGCTCCTCCATGCCAGCCACTTACGTCGACAGACACACAGAGATACACGGCGAATCCAACACTCACTCACTTATTCACTCACTCTCACTCTCTCTCTCTCTCTCTCTCTCTCTCTATCCCTCTCCCTTCTATCCTTTCTCTCGCGCTACGTGTTTTCTTAAAGCGTTCAACTCGTGATTTGCGTATAATTTCACAACCACAATTCTTAATTAAACTTTTAGCTTACGACGTTACGAGCCGAAATTGCGAAGTTGCTATTACATACATATTCGCTTCGTATTGTCTCTTCGTATTGTCTCTTAGCCGTTTTATTGCAATTCTTTCAAAAATTGACCGTTCCCGAATTATCGAACGTATATCGTGAAAATGTCACGCGCGAAGAAGGTGAATTTTCTCTAGTTGAAGACAACAAGAAATCTCTTCGCTTTGTCTCTTTTTCGTTATTACTGAAGGCAAAAGCCGCAACAATTTCACCCGAGACTTAACTATCGAGAAAACGTTGCTTTAAAAATCGAGAAACTGTGACAAATGACAGTCTGCAATGGAATTTTCGTTAAGAGGAAATCGGTATCGAATTTGTCACAGAACGCCTCGTTAAAGTTTGATGCGGAAACGATGAACCGTATTGTGTACGACTTGATGTTTCTTATCGCTGTATCGTTTCCATCGACTTTCTATAATAACGCGTCCCGTCTTTAAAACATTTTACGACTAAAATAAAGGCGATGGCATCTTAAAATTTCATAGCTTAAATGGCGGCTGTCGGAAGTAGCAATATTTAATTCTTTATTTCCAGCATCTGCTAACGAACGATTTTATTTAATCAAGCGGAGCGATTGCAGGAACATTCTTTGAGCTTCGATATCGAGACGTCTACAGAATAAAAGTTAAGAACTTCGCTTAAAGAATAATGTCTAAAATGGCACCCAAGACTTTTGAATATTATTACGATCGAGAGGCACAATGGGAACAAATACAATGAACTTTGAATCCAAAATTTAGTGCTGAATGTACTCCCTCGGTAATGTGGATCTCATTTCTTCGACATGAAAGTTGCATTTAATGTTACCACGAGCGTAACAACGATCAAATTCCTCGAATACAGGAACGTGCGTGCCCCGAGTTTCATTAATGGAAACACAATTTGGGCGATCAGTAGTAAACTGTGAAATAACATCACAGCTGCCAGTCTTTTTTCTACTTTCATTCCAGGACGCGGCCTGTGATTAAATGTCGGCGATAATTACCCAGCTAATTTGTCGTGAGCGAATGGTACACACTGTCGATATGCATCCTATTTTACGATGTAATTGATTGATAACACACGATAATCACATGCTCCATCGAAAATCTGTACACATCAAAACAACACACAGACGACATCGTGTTCGTGAGCGTGTTCGGCTTTCTTTTTGCGCAGCGGTGAATATATCGGCGGGAAATCGATCGTTAGATGCGATTGAATGACAATGGATCGATCGAGCGTCAGTGAAAGAACGTCACGTAACGACGGTTTCCACATTCGGCGGAATTCCGATTCTCCGCGTTCTTGCAGTCGAAAAGAAATTCTGCGATCTGCTGGAACCAGTGATTTTCAGAGAGACCCTATTCTGGTTTTTAATTGAAATTACTCCCGTCTCGAGCGTTCTACTGCGCCCTATAATTCTGCCTTTGCGGAATACCGTAATGCCATTAAAACTTTCATAACGAGATTGTTGCGCGGAAAATTTTATCGCCTTCCGATGTTTTATTAGTCGACTGAAGATAGAGAGAATATATTCGGGATTAACGTCTTCCGTAGTCATTATCGAATATATTTTCTTTATCACTTTTTTTTTTTTTCTACCGAATATATCTACTTTATTACTTTATTTTTGTTGCAAGAGCCCCTCCCGTTTAACAATCTAACAGGAACGGCTGAATTATGCGAGAAACGGTAATGTAAATTTATTAACACGACAAGGAAGAATTCCCGATTAAAAATCATACGTTAGTTAGTTTTATCTTTCATTCCTTGTCGTCGACACGATGCATTGCGGATGTGGAATCATGTTGATATTAAACAGATTTTTCTACACCGTTCTCTATTCAAATATTTGCATGATTACATGGATAAAAGTACGACGGAGGTACAAGCGTGAGTAGTGGGGGCTGAGTTAGATTACCTTGTTCTTGCTTGTTCTTCTCCATAGACATGGAAGCGATGCGCCACTCTTGTAGTTCGGGCGAAGGGATAAGACCCGCGGAGCCAGCCGCGTTATCCTTCCGTGCCTGCCACCAATGATGGTCGTCTTTGCTGATGATTTGTAGGATGTCGCCGGTTTTAAATGCGATCCCGGCCTGAGCGCATGGTATCAATTCGTCCTCCAGCGGATCGTAGTCGAATTGCGCACGAACGAAAATCTGTTGGTGCAGCAGAAAATCATGTTACGATCGCTCATGGGTGAAATTCGAGCTAGTAATGGCAGTGGTAGTCATTGTCGTCGTTGTCGTCGTCGAATCGTCGTTCGTACGTGACGTCAAGGATTTCACTCCGCGCTGACATATTAAACGGGAGAGAATTACACGAGAAACTATAATATATCGAGAGATCACAAAGGAGGTGGGAATTCAATACTGAGATAATTGAAGAACCACGGTGAAATCATTGACATCCATTGGATTAGTGAGAAAAGTCTTAATTAACGAAACAATAGGTCCTCGACGGTGAGACGTGTGACTAAGGTATCGTTCTACGGCTATATCGATCGCTGATAGACCTACATATAATAGCTGCGCTAGACATAGCGAAACGAATCTAGATATTGCGAGGAAAGCGGAAAGATGCGACGTAGTGAAGCAACGGCAATAGCTGCTTGCAAAGAGTAACGGTACGGTAATGTAGAAAATGTACAAAGTATATCAATGGCAAGTATAATAGAGAGCGCTCGCAAAAGTTCGTCAAGATTGCGGTGTCGACATTATGAGGCGAGCGCGTCCGCGCGCACCGACGACGACGCTGAGAGTGGTTCACGGGTACAAGTCGCGGCGGGTACGACCAGCGATCGACTCGTAGCTCGATTTCGCCACATTGCTTAAAAGTTAGGAAGGGCAGGGTGTCACGCGAAATTTCCAGACGAAATATCGACTCGCCGGTCTCTGAACGTCGCTGTATGACGTTTTGCAGTCGGCACGCTGTCGTTAGGTCGTCGACACGAAAAAAGGGGGTCGGTGTGGCTTTTTACAGTCAATCGATACACACTCATCGGCTCGGAAGAATTCTTCGGTCCGAAGGGGGCGGTAGGAAGAGAAGG